TCACTTCAAGAAATATCTACTATGTGTGGCAGCTAGGTGGCATGGTGGATAGAGCACTGGCCCTGGAGTCAGGAGGACCTGAGTTCAAATCAATCCTCAGACACTTACTAGCTATGTGATCTTGGGCAAATCACTTAACGTCGATTGCCTCGAAAAGAAAAGAAAAAGATACATCTACTATGTGTGGACAGCTAGTGGCATAGTGAATAGAGAGCTAGACATGAAATCAGGAAGAACTAAGTTTTCAGATCTTTTCTAGCTGTGCGATTTTGAGCAAGTCACTTAACCTTTCTCAGCTTGTTTTCTCATTTGTATGATGGGGATTATAATGGTACCTACTTACTTCACATGGGTGTTGTGAGGATCAAAGAAGGTAGAGTGTAAATTGCTTTGCAAACCTTAAAATGCTATGTAAATACGAAGTGTAATCTCAAGATATTCTGTTAGGCACTGGAGATACAAAGATGAATTGTAAGACCTCTTTTCTTTTTGGGGAGTTTCATTCAACTTGGAGATACTTGTATACAGAAAAATAAATAGAAGGTCATTTTAGAAAGGAGGAAGAACTAATCTCAGTGGCATTAGGGAAGGCTCCATTGAGGAAGTCACATCTAAACTGAACCTTGAAAGAAGAGGAAGTTTCTAAGCGGTGGAGATCAGAGAGATAAGGAGACAGCACATTCCAGGCAATGGGGACAACTTGTGTAATTGAATGAAGGTGGGAGACAGAATGTTGAGGTTGGAGATTAGCTGCAGTTCCAGTTTGACTGGAGCATTGGAGTACATGAAGGGAGGTAATATGGATTAAGTCTTGGAGCCAGATTATATCAGGTTAAGTAGTTTGTATTTTGTCCTCAAGGCCTTTGAGCAGGAGAGGATATATTTATTTAATTTTATATTTATTTAATTTTAGCCTAATTAGAGCTATAGAGAGATGCTTGGTGAAAATATTATGCTGCAACATAACTAACAGTTATCAACCGAAAGCAAAAAAGTAGTCTAAAAAGTATCGGCAAAGATATGTATGGCCAGAAAAGGAGAAGGACATGTTTGTGTGGGAAAAGTTGGGTAAAACAATAGATGGATGCATTTTGTATTGGTTCCTATATATCACACCTAGAAGAAGATTCCTAGCGCATTGGTTGGACATCTTGTAGAAGACGTGGACAGGATGATAAAGTTGGGGTGGGTTGTGATCTTCACTTTTGGAGGTAGTAACTCCATCAGCTAGGTGACATAGTGGGTAGAGTATTAGACTTGGATCAGGAAGACCTGAAGTAGAATCCAGCCTCAGGCAATTATTAGCTGTGTGACCCTGGACAAGACACTTAACCTCTGTCAGTCTCAGTTTCCTCAATCTGTAAAACTGGGATGAAAAACCAGCTCACTAGAGCTGTTGTGAGGACCAAATAAGATAACATATGTAAAACACTTTGTAAACCTTAACTATTTTATAGCTAGGTGGTAGAGTACATAGAGCACTGAGCTTGGGATCAGGAAGATGAGCCTTCCTGAGTTCAAATCCAGCCTCAGACACTTATTACATGTGTGACCCTGGGCAAGTCACTTAACCTCGTTTGTCTCAGTTTCCTCATTTGTAAAATGAGCTGGAGACAGAAATGGCAAACTGCACCAGAATCTTTGCCAAGAAAATTCCAAATGGCATCAAGAAGAGTCAGACATGACTGAAACAACTGAACAACAATAATACCTCTATGGTGCCTACAATGTCAGAGCCACACATAACACAAAAGACAAGAGAGTTTGGCTGCCCATTGGAGTTCTACCATCTATACTTGCTATATACAATCCTCAGTAGAAACTGATTAGTTGGTCATATTATTGGGTGGCTACCCTTTATTCACTTTATAAAAGAATATTATTCACTGGTTTCTTAACTGTATGCTGCTTAGGAGTCAGGAAGCTGCTGGTTCAAATCTACCTCCAACACTTAACTAGCTGGGTGACCCCAGGCAATTCACAGAACTTAGGTTTCCCTTATCTGTAAAATGGAAATCACAGTAGCACTTAACTACCAGAGTTGTTGTGAGCATCAAAAGAGATGACGCATAAAATGCTCTGCTAATCACAAAGTGCTATACAGATGCCAGCTGTTGTCATTATTACCCTTTATGAAAGTCAGGGTACATCTCTTTATTAACTTTCTCCAAAATAAATGGATGAATGAGATGATCTACAAGGTCCTTCTGTCTTGAAAAGTCTCTGATTATATGGTTCTAATCCCACTGTATAAAAATGTTGCAAGGAAGCTAATTAATGTTTGCAGAGTGCTTAGAGATTGTCTGATGAAAAGATACCAATATGGTGATGGTGGCTATTTAGATGAATAGATGGGTTTTTTTTTTGTTCTATTAAAACTCATTTCACTCATATTTTCAAGGATAAATTTCTGTCTGATGATATTTTGATTGGATTAGAAACTATCCTATAGAAAGAGAAAAACTGAAGTGAAGTGACGGCAAAGAACAGGAACCATTTGTTCTACTAGGTTGGTCTAGTGAAAATAACCCTCAAGTTGAAGTCAGAAGACCTGATACTGAGTCTGGTCTCTGGTAGTTGTGGTATGATAAGCCGCTTAATCTGACCCTCAACTTCCTCATCTGTGAAATGGGGATACTGATACCTGTGCCTCTTACCTCAAAGGGTCATTAAAAGAGAAACACTTTTATATACCATAAAACTCTGAAAATGTTAACAAAAATATATTCAGCTCTCATAATGAGTCATCTTTGCAACATTCGTGGGGAGGCAACATGATATAACTTGCCTGGGAGACAAGATGGGTTCAAGTTGTAGCCCTCCCACTTGATAGCTTTGTAATATGAAGCAAGTCAGATAAACTGTCCTGATTCTCAGTTTCCTCATCTGTAAAATGAGCAGATTGGACTTGATCATACCTAAGATCCTTTCCATCCCGAACATGTTACAATCTTGTGAGTTAGGAAAGGCGGATATTTTTCTCCTTATTTAAAAATAATGCATGATAAGGTAATTATTAAATGCTTGTCATTTGTCAGTTACTGAAAGTTTAAGTTCTTTATCCATTTCCAGATGGCAAGTTCATGGTTAGAGCCGGTCAGAGGAGGTTAAGCCTAGGGCTCTTCCTACTGACCCATGCTCCTTCCTTCTGGGACCCAGCTGTACCTTTGCTCTGGATCTTAGAGGAATGAACACTCCATGTGGTAGGAGTGTTGCTGGAATCAGTAGCACTACTTGTCTGATGGCCTAGGGAGCAGGACACCTCTTGAACATGTGTTGCCTATAGTTTTTGTCCATTTTTTAAATTAAAAAATTATTTTTTCAATCAGGAAAAAGTTCATTTTTTCCTCTCTGTCATTCCAACTCTCTTAATTGAGAAGAAAAGAAAAATAAAACCTGCTACAAACATGTATAGTGAAGCAAAACAAATGGCATTGGCCATGTCCAAATATATCTATATCTATCTATATCTACCTATATATTTAATTCTGAACCCTGAGTTTTTCACCCCTCTATCAGGAGGTGGGTATCATGTTTCATCATGAGTCCTCTGGAATTGTGTTGGTCCTTATGCTAATTGGAGTTATTTTTTTTTCTAAGTTGTTTTTCTTTACTATATTGTTGTCATATAGATTTTTCTCTTGATTGTACTCCCTTCACTCTGAATCAGTTCATACAATTCTTCCCAGGTTTCACTGAAACCATTCCATTATTAATTTCTTATAGCACATTCATATTTATATATCATTTATATATCATGACTAGTTTTACCATTCCCAATTGATGAGTACCCCTTGAGATTCCAATTCTTTGCCACCACAGAAAGAATTGTAAATATTTTTGTGCATCCTTAGTTTTTTCCCTCCTTGGAACTAATCCCTCTCTTCTTCTCTTTCTCTCCTTTTTCCCTATTGAGTGAAATGTATTTCTTTACCAAACTTAACTTTCTCTCTGTCTCTCTCTCTGCCTCTCTGTCTCTGTCTCTCTCTGTGTCTCTCTGTCTCTATCTCTCTGTCTCTCTCTGTTTCTGTCTGTCTGTCTCTCTCTCTCTCTCTGTCTCTCTCTCTCTCTCTCACGGTGTGTGTGAGTTCTTCCCTCTTTTGATCAGTTCAGATGAGAGGTTCAGCCTCTCCCCCTAGCCCCTTCTTGTTTGTTTAAATGTCTTCTTGCACACCTTGATCTCTTGCCTATTTTTAAAGATAATGCCAAGATCAGGCTACCTACCTGTGGTACTAATCCAGGCAATTATGTAGATGTATTTATTAATGAGTAAATAAATGATCTTTCTTTGCATTCATAATCAACTATTTGAAGGATTTTTGATTTTGGAATGACTAGTATGGGAACATATCCACCCGCCTTTCTGTCATTTAGCAGAGAAATCATAGGGGTTGCCTGGAATACACAGATGTTAAGGCATTTTCCAGAGTCACTCAGCTAGTGTCAAAGGTAGGATTCGGTCTCAGGCCTTTGTGCCTCCAATCCCAAGATTCTATCTTCTTTGTCATTTTCCTTCACTTCTGAGTTGATAACAGGCTGTTAAATGAATTTTATAGGCACACATTAAACAGTAGAGATATTTCTCAACAGCCACGGGTCAGTTGTGTTTTTGGTAATGCACTCTGGGAGTGTTTGGAGCATGTGAAAAATACTTATTGATTGATTGATTGATTGATTAAAAGGCATTCTATAGCTAATTGCCCAGTAAAGTGAACAATTGCCCTCTAATTTACCTTTCATGTACTTTTTTCCACTTCAGCAAACCTGTACATCCAAAGTAAAATGACCTTACGTCCTAAAAACACCATCTTCTCCCTATAGCTATTTCAGTCTGGAAGCCGATGGATTTGTCCTGAGTTCTTTGTAGTATTTGTTTATGTGATAACATATTAGATCTTTTCCTTCTAAGACAACTCTTCTCTGCTCTCTCTAGAAATACAGGACGGTTGATTGGCAGTGAGATTGCTTCCCACACGTGATTTTTTTTTTTCTTCTCCTAGGTTCTCACAGGAGGGAAAGCCATCTGAAAGACAATGACCCCTCTCATCTTCCTTTTCGTGGGTATGCTTCATCTTTTACCTTTGTGCTCAGGGAGGGCTGTGTGTAAAGATGTTTGCCACTTGAAGACATTTGAACAAATAAAGGAAGAAATAGCAGGCTACCAAGATGTTGCTAAGGCCATTGTAGATCTTGCTGTGTGTGGCAAAGCCCAGAACAGATCCTATGAGAGACTGGCACTTTTGGTTGACACTGTTGGACCTAGACTGACTGGGTCCCCAAACCTAGAAAAGGCCATCCAAATTATGTACCAGAACCTGATGGATGATGGTTTGAAGAATGTTCATCTGGAACCTGTTAAAGTACCCCACTGGGAAAGGGGACAGGAGTCTGCTGTGATGCTAGAGCCCAGAAACCATTCAATGGCCATTTTAGGCCTTGGGAGCAGTGTCGGGACCCCTCCAGAAGGTATGTTCTGTCTCTCCTGAATAATTTTGTATGGCTTGTTACAAAACAAAACATAACAAAACAGTAATGCCTCCCAAACAAATGGATGATGAAAAACATTGGGATTTATTTCAAATCTGGAGCAGGGAAGGTGGATCAGGAAGTTGTTTCCTATTCCCCAATTCCATTGAACAAATACTGTAGATCCTTGGATATCTGTCTTCATCATGCCCGTGTCAACTATTTCTAGGTTTTTGTTTTTGTTTTTTTCCTATCCTCTTGCATTTCTTTTCCAAAATGAAGCTTCTGTTAATAATGATAATATTGATGATGATAATGATTAATGGATGACATTTACATAGTACATTATAATTTTCAAAGCTTTCCATGATGAAGCTCTTACTTCCAGATGAAGTAAGCTCCAGGAAGGGCTCATTTTACTTATGTCTTTTTATCCCCAGTGCTTAGCATGGTCCCTGGCACATTGTGGGCAATTAATAAATACTTGTTAATTGCTTGATGAATTGGATTAATAAATACCTGTTAATTTATTGATTGATGATCTCATTTGATCATCAAAACAACATTGTAAAGTCAACATGCCATTAATAATCAAGTATTTATTAAGATCAGAAGTACAGGTATTATTATTCCATTTCTAAGGCAAAGAAACTGAGGCACAGAGTACTTATTTGTTGAAGTGGTAGCCATGGGAATTGAATGCCAATCTTGATTCCAAATCTAATTGTTTTTATGGTATTCCACAGTTGCCTTTTGATAACAAGAAGTTTATTTCTTTCTTATTTTAATCTGTTTCATTGATTACCTTTATCTTTGCTTCATAGTCAGTTAGACATGACTTTAGTTATTGAGGTACAGACATTTGGTTGTATAAATAATGAAGTTCTTGACATATGAAAATATTTGAGTTATCAATTGCCTTTTGATCACTTATCTAATAAATAGCAAAGAAGGGATTTAAGCCTAGATGTCTTGACTCTATGTTTTCATTTTGTCCACAATGCCAGGCCACTTCTTATGTGCTACATATAAATAAGTAAATGAATATACACACATAAATATATCTGCATATATGTACATATATGTTTAATTATATATTTATTATTATTGATCATCTATTTTATATAATGAATATAATAAATATAAACACAATAAAATTTGTTTATATTTATTATTATAACATACATATTATTATAATATTGTATTTTATTTATTATTATTATATACATGTCACATATGTAGTTATTATTAATACTGTCAATGGCAGAGCAGGTATTGAAGTGATCTTCATTAGTAGAAGTTTTTTATTTGGAGTTCCTTAGAACCAATGAAATCACAGGTCCAGGCCAAAAAAAAATTGCCTGTATACACACACACACACACACACACACACACACACACACACACACACACACACACACACACACACACACACAAACGTCAGTTGAGTTTTGTTACTCCTCTGGATTCCTTCATAACTTCCAAAGAGCTCTGACAGGTTAGGGAGAACACCTGTATGAGATATTGGCAGAGCAATAAAATGAAAGTCTTAGAAGATGCTTTTTTATTCAGAAATATCTTCCCTGAACATTCTGATTTCTTCTACTCTGAATTCTTTCCACGTAACCTCATCTGGGCCCTTACTGTTGGACTCTTACTCTGTCACTTGTAGCTTTTTTTTTTTAATCACATTCTCTATCATGTCAATTCAGTTCAGGAAGCTAGATGGTACAAAGGCAGCTAGGTGACACAAGGGATAGAGCTCTGGACCTACAGTCAGGAAGACCTGAGTTCAAATCCAGCCCCCAACACTTAGGTGCAGTGTGACCCCTGGGCAAGTCACTTAACTTTTCTCCCCCTCAATTTCCTTACCTGTAAATAACAGCACCTGATTCACAGAGTTGTTGTGAGGATCAAATGAGATAATACTTGTAAAGGGCGTAGTACAGTGCTGGGCACACAGTAGGCACTATATAAATGCATATTCCTTTTCCCAAATCAAGAGATGTTGATTAAATGCCTCCTAAGTACAAAACAGTATGCTTGCTATATGTGAGACTGGCAGTCCAGAGAGTAATTGGGAGGCCATTGCAATAATCCAGACAAGAGGTGATGAGGGTGTGAACTAGGGATGGTGGCCAGGGAATGACTGAAAGGGGATGATGAGAAAGGGGGTGAGAAAGGGGATGAGTCGAGAATGACCAGGGGGTAATGAGGCAATGTGAGTGGGAGAATGGTGTTGACACCAACATGAATAAGAAAACTTGTAGAGGTAGGTTTTGGAAAAAAATGATCAGTTTCAATTTTGGATATGTTGAGTTTGAGATGCCTATGGAGTGTTCTAGTGGAAATGTCCAGCAATAAGCTGGAATTAAAGAAAGACTGGAGCCATATATGTGGATTCGGAAGTCATCTCTATAGAGATGATAATTGAACACATGGGAACAATCACGATCACCAAGGCAGAGGATAGGTAGAGATAAGGGTCTAGTACAAAGTTTTGGGAAGGTCCCCAAATAAGACTGGCAGGTGCAAAGTGATGGTCCAAGAAAAGAGACCAAGAAAGAAAGAAAGACTGTTTAGTAGGAGAACCAGAGAGAACATTGTCATAGGAAAGAATAGTTAGAAGAAGAGGATTGTTGACAGTGTCAGAAGCTATAAAGTACTGAAGCAGAATAAGAATTTAGGAAAAAAAACATTGAATTTGGCAGTTAAATTATAGGTAATCTTGGAGAGAGAAATTTTAGTAAATTGGTTGGGTTGTAAGACAGTAAGGGTAGGGAAGAGGAATGAGAGGAAAGGAAGGTAGTAGATAATTCTCCAAATCTGCCTCAGAGTTTTCTGTCCAGCTCTCTCCTCACTTTTAAAAGTTTCTTATTTTGAGGGAGAGGTAGAAAGAAGGATAGAAGATAAGTTAATATCAGCTAAATCAAGCTGTTGTCCTTCATCAAACTTTTTGTGGCCCCGTTATTTAATCTGGCTCCACAGATAAGGAAAGGCTGCTTTCAGTTATTTCACTTTCTTACATTCTATCTATTCTAGTCCCTAAATCTGCTAAATTATTCTGTCTGCCATTTTCACACAAAATTTAGCTTATGGGATTGAGTTCCTTTGCCTGCTTTTTAAAAAAAAACTTTTCTTTTTGAGGTGCTACCTAATTTACCTATAGGTCTCTTCTTTCATTTAATTAGTTATTTGCACCTTTGTTCTACTTCTGGGAAATACTGAATTTATACTTTCTAGTGGGGTTTAACTTATAAGAAGCCTTCTCCTCTCCTTCTGGTATCTAATTGCAGTGACAACAGGGGTGGCCCATGGGGTCTGTCACCTCTAACAATACTTTGCCTTTGGGATCCTGCTGCAGGTGGGGAGTGAGGAAGCAAGCCGCTGTTCAGATGAGATTGCTAAGTGCCAGATGTTACTGTATTTATCCATGATTGCAAAGATACTGTGGGGTGGGGAACCTGGGGCGCTTTGACTGAATCCAGACTTCACGGACCTGAAGTCTGGATTCAGTCAAAGGGCCTCTCTTGAGGACCTGGAGGGCCACATGTGGCCTCAAGGCTGCAGGTTCTCCACCCTTGGTATAGATACTAAGCACGCCTACTTTTCTGTGGTAAATGCTGCCCTGTTATCCTATCTACCTTTCCCCAGGAGTTCTTAGGGATGGAGCTATTGTCATGTGCTGGCTCTTCTTCATGCCTCTCACATTTTTCCTTTTACTTCTCCTCATTTCTGTTTTTTTTTTCCTTTTTCAACAATAAACATTTATTAAACACCTATGACCTGTCCCCCCTCACTGCTAATGGCTTCCCCTTGAGATTGCCTCCAATTTACCCTATATACATCTGATATATGTGTACTTGTTTGTGTGTTATATCCTTTGGAATGTAAGTTCCTTGAGGGCAGGGACTGTTTTTGCCTTTCTTTGTATACCCATCACTTGGCACATAGTAGGTGCTTAACAAATTCTTGTTGACTTGACATACTATGTGCTAGGCCTTAGTAATACAAAGACAAAAATGTAACAGTACTTGCCTTTGAGGAGCTTATAATCTATAGGAGGAAAGACCCTGAAAAACTCGAAAGCAAACAGAGGAGAGCAACCAGAATGGTGATGGGCTCCAAATGATGCCAAATCAGCACTCATTGAAGGTATTGTGACTGTCTAACCCAGAGGCGAGATGGGAAGACGTAAGAGGTGTTCTTAAGCATATGAAGGGCTCTCATATGGAAAAGGTACTTATACTAATTCTATTTGGCCTAGAACTTTGAACAACAGATGGAAATTGCAAAGGGGAACCATTTGATGTAAGGAAAAACTCTTCACAATGACAGCTATTACAATTAGAATGGATTGTTTTGGGAGGCAGTGAGTTTCCCCCTCTTCAGACAACATCTTCCAGAAGAGGCTTGGTGATCATTTTATCAGATATGTTGTAGTGGGGTCTCTTTCCTAGATGTTAATTATACTAGATGGCCACTGACAGCCATCTACATCCTCTTCTAGGAAGATCACATCTGGGTATTTTTCATAAAATACATCATTTACTTGATCCATACCATGAGGCTGAGAAGCTAACTCTTTCTAATTTTTCATCAATTTCAATTATGAGTCCACGTTTTCTTTCTATTTGTTTCTTGATTTTTTTTTATGAGTTGGAGCTATGTGTGTTGGGGAGACTGAGTGGTGAGTAGGTGACCAGTGAGTGAGAATCTGTCCAGCTTGAATCCTTCCATCTATGAAAAATGCAAGAATTTCTACTTCCCCTAATTTCCACCATGTTCCATTTCCTGCTTCTTTTGACATATGGTGGTTCAAGGGAGTTGAAATATCTTTATGATTCCGTAATTGGATGCCAAATATGTCACTATGGAAAGAGAGGTGGCTGTCCTCAACCCAGTCACCACTATCTCTTAACCCTCTTCCCTCAAACTCACTCCATCAATGAAGATCAGCGACTGATGACTTATCCGGGGTCACTACGTATCAGAGGTAG